ACGTATTTTTCTATTCTTATAACTTTTTGCAAGTTTGAAAGTTTTTCAAAACAATTAAAAATTAACAACGAAAAAGCAAAACTCTCCTATAGCTTCCTATCTCACTCAGAGTAAATGAAAAAAGTCCTCAAAATTAATTTTAAGACTGTTCTACTCCAGCCACACAGGATTCCTTGTTATTCCTTGCCAGGCGTGTTCTCTCTCAGGAATTTGCTATGCTATTTCGGTTTTCTGGGTACACTAACTAATCCACAAAATGTTCACATAGCTCATGCCCTCACATCCTTCAGGTCTTATTAAACTAGAAGACAGAAGATGTTGTAGGTTTCAAGCCCTCAAGCCAGTGGAGAATATTGAAAAAAACCACTGATAATAGCAAAAGCTACCTGGCAAAAAGGAAAGGATAGTTTAATTCAGCTTTTAGAGCTAAAAAAAAAAAAATGACGATTAATCTCACCCTTTTTAAAATCTATTTGTTTTACTCATTACTATGAAAAGGAATAAAAATGAGACACAAAATACAGTGTTTTCATTTGTCAGTTTACCTATTTCGAGCAGGAGATTTCCCAGCATCCTCTTGAACAGATACAAGTCTTGTTGAAAGAGCAGTATTTGAGGAATCTGGATGAATCAAACTATAAAGAAAATGGGAAAATACTGAGATCATAAGAGGCAATTTCAATGAGGTACTTCAACACTAAAAAACAGATTAAATATTTTTCCCTGCAATAATGAGATTTTGAGTCATTTTTGTTCTTCCTTTCATTATGGTGGAAACAACACATGGTTTTTATCTTAAGCATAACAAATGCCAAAAGAATGATAAAGTTCTTAAGTATAGGGAATGCCAATCAAATAATAAAATTGGTTAGGTGGATGACTTATAAAACTCCTTTTCACGTCATAAATACAAGATGGAAGTGATTTTGGAAGGAAATCTGACGTCAAATATTTCATTCTCAGTCCCCATGACCCACTGGAATAGCACCACAGAGTCTGACAAACCTAGATCCAAGTGTAGGCTCTATCTCTTACTAGCTGTGTGACCTTGGGTTCATTACTTAATCTCTTTGAACCTCAGCATCCACATCTGTCAAAAGGAGAAAACAGTGCCTACTACAGAGATATGATGATTAAAAGAGAATGAACATTAAACAATTAGCACAGAACCTAAATTTTAACTATTATTCTACTTTTGACATTTACCCTACATCTCTCAAGAAGTTTTCATACCTGGTTTGTTTTATTAAATCACACTTGCCAATTCTGGGCTCAATAGGACCAAGCACGACCAAAAAGCATTACTAACTGAAGTAAGCAAGAACTGAAGAATCCCTATACTTTGTATTATTTTATTAAATATAGAATCAATTTTTTAAATTTACAAAATATATGTAAAATATAAAGAATCACGATGCCATAAACACCAAAAGTACCTCTAAAGCAATTTAAGAAAAAGAACACTACTAATGACTGTGAAGTGCCCTACCCAATACCATTCATATCCTTCCTTACCCTCAATAAATCCAGTTATAAACTTTACATTTATCATTGTCTTCCCTTTCTTTTAGTTTTACCATGTTTGTATCCCTAGACAGTGTATTAGTTTTATAT